ATGCTAAAATAACTAGCAGACACTGCGCAGACCATCGACGTTCTGTTCTCCGATTGGTTCGGCTAAAAATCGGCCAGTGAAATCCTTGTCTATGGGAGATGTCCTAGACGAAGCAGAGAAGCGAAACTAGAATTGAGCGGAGCTGCGTAGGAAGGCAAGGGCCAGGCTAATGTTGCATATCACTATCAGACAGAATATTAGAAGTCTATCTCATACCTACCTACATTTGCTGACAGATATGAGGAACACCTGTTCCTGTTGACGAGCAGCTGTGGAGTGAAGCAGTTCTGAAAGGGTGTGTCCATGGGTATTGTCCTCCAAATATTTTCACAATTCATGGTTAGCTTCTAAGCTTAGCTTTCATCATGGTTGAGCTGGTGCGCCACGCATGTCACTGCCAAACGTTAGCGATTGGGTAAATCAGATCCAATTGTTTTAAACTTCAACAGAATCCTCGCCTCTGGAAAGAAATCGCCTTTTAATAGCCAAAGTTCCAGAGCCTCTGTACTACGGAGCCCACGAGGGGACATGGGGGGATTTTTTTCTTTTGCGTTCCCACGTAATACTTTTGTGTTCCTTCACAATACTTTTGCGTTACCTTGCAATACCTTTGCATTTCCTTGCAATACTTTTGCGTTACCTCGCAAAATTGTTTTGCGTTCCCACGCAAAAGTTTGTTTTTGTATGTGAACTTAATTAAATCAGACTTTTATTTTGAAATATCCGGTTACCAAAACAGGATGTGTCGCCACAGTTCGTGAAATTGACACGGATGTTGCGTGGCTGCACTGTGTTAAAATATCGGCATATGACATATTTCCATGCGTGGTTGTGTGATATATTCATTCTGAAGCTGAATTAAAGTAGTAGGCTAACTCACTAATGGTGAACATGTGAGTATGTTAATAAATCGGCAGGCACAACAGTGATAAACTACTTTTGCGAGGGAATGCAAAAAGTATTGCGTGGGAACGCAAAGGGGAAAAAAAATCTCCCATGTCCCCTCACGGACTCCGTACTGTACAAAGCAAAGCGTGGGACAAGGGGATAATTTTTACCAGGCTACTGAAAAACAAACTTTAACCCGAGATCATAATTGAAACTTTCACTATCCTTATTTTATTTTCTATTTATACACTGAGCACCAGTAGTTAGTCTTGACTGCCTCATATGACACTTTTATCATGAAATCTCTGCACCATATAACCTAATGTAACAAAGCATCTGAGAAACCCACAGAACAAGTTACCTTCATAGACTATTGTCCCACTTTTGTGGCCCCCTCTAGAAGGACATGACCCTTAGCATTTGTCTAAACTGGCTATGCCACAGGCCAGCCCTGGTTGAAAATGAGTCTCAGCTACACGTAATTCTAGCTCAATTTATTTTTATAAAGCTATAGCCTTTTTTTGTTTTTTCCTTTAGGCATGAGCAGAAACATAACCATCTATTTTCCCCTTTCAGCTGTGAGCGAAAACAATCAGAGCAACTGAACATTCTGGTTTGATTGTAAATCGATGCTCTCGCCTTAATGTTTGTCAGTATATATTTTTTTTATTCAGTGTCAAATCAACGTGTTTGTTGCTTAAGGCTTGAAGTGCCCAAATTTGCTGCGTCGGGTCATAGTGTTTAACTTTTCTATAATCTATTAATCTTCCACCTTTCAATTTCCCCCACAGCCCGATAAACCATCAGAGCAGACCTTCTATAAAATCTGTCAAACTGTAATTAATGGATATAAATGGCACCATTTCCATAACTCTCCTCCTTGTTGGATCTCCAGTGTGTAATTATGTGCTTACAGCCACCAGAGCATAACGTCATTTTCCATGTTGAGTTGAGCATACTTTATTTAATGATAATGAATAAATATTCTCCCGGGACTCAGACTGGATTAGATTTAGACACGTATGATTTCCTGCCTCATCCAGTCCTGCTGAAGAAAAAAAAGCTCATCTCAGTTTGTCTAGCGAGGTCGAGCCCCCCCCCCCGATCTGTTGCCTGATGACTTTAGCCCTCGTTTCAGCTTCAGCTCTCAGCTGAATTTCAGCAAGACGAAGCTAAACTGTGTCCATTACAACACCCTGGTTTCATAAGCAAAGAGTCTGGGTGCTGAGCTGGCCTACCTGTAGTCCAGATCTCTCGCTTTTAAAAATATTTACATTGTGAAACACAAAGTTTGTTAAAAAAAAGACCCTAAACGTTTGAACAGCTATTCAATATCCAGTAACGGGTCGACATTTGCCTCCAAAACCTCCAGCATACTCTTCAGTCCTAGCCGTCTACAGATTGCTGTTAAAAGAAGAGAGGATGTTTCYCAGTAGTAAACATGACCCCATCTTAATGTTTTGCTATGTGTTCATGAGATTTGCAAATTCTGTTTTTATTCACATGTATTCCTGTTAACTCTCCGACCTTTTCAGACAGGGTTATAGGAGTTTGGACGCATAAATGAAGTTGTCTCTGTAATCAAATGAGCCGGTGTTTGCCAGCTTGGGGTTTGCTTGCTGATATTGGAAAGTGTCCTCTAATGTGCCTTGACACAGTYGTGTGGAGTAATGGCTCTGAAATGCTACACTGAATCAATGCCTGGTGCCTTTTTCCTCTCTTAGGTAATTTACTTGGTAATGAGAGAGGGTGCAGAAGGCTGTCTCTGAGAGCACGGGGAAGATGTAATCTGTTTTCCCACTGATTCAGTCGGGTTKAGGAGTCTTGGGCTGCTAATTAATTAACTATGAAACACTGAAATAGGATTTCATTGAGGGGCTTAATTTGGGTAATCGCAGCTCCTCACCTTTCTGTGCATCAGCATTAGTGTGGTGTCATCATGGTTTGAATTTTGGGAGGGAGGGGGGACTTGACTCTACTAATTGAGACTTCAACTAGAGATGTGATGTTCGCGAACGATCCGAATCTTTTGAACGGCTCTTTACAARGAAKGATAGGAACCGAACCGCGGGCAGTAACGAGCCATTTGTAGTTTTATTTCTTTTATTCCTCATATAATCTTTAGTTTTTCATACTTAAATCGCTCCCGCTTTGCTTTTTCACGGAAAATAGGACTAGTTGTGGAGTACAGAAGCTCGGGGGGAGGGGGGTTTCCGCTTAACAAACACATGGTTCCACCCACATGACGGGACAATGTCATTATGTACAGCTTTGTGATGATGTATCGCGTTCGAAATCGACTGGCTCTTCTGAATGGCTCTATGAAACAAACGTCTCCCCAAGATCCGGATCCCTTCAAAAAGCCATTTATCCCATCTCTAACTTCAACCTCCACCCCAAAACAGGGGTAAAAAATAAAAGGCTGGGGGATTACCTTTATAGTTTTAAAAAAGAGTTGGTGTCTGATACTGTTGTTCTTAGACGGAACAGGGTGGGATGCCCCCTCTATTGGGGGAAATCTCTTCAAGCGGAGGAGTTTAAGTATCTGGGTGTCTTCTTCATGAGTAATGGTAGGATGGAGCGGGATATGGATCAACGGACTGGGGCCTCGTCTTCGATAATGAGGGCATTGCTTCGGTCGGTCGCTGTGAAAAAAGAGCTGAGTCGAAAGACAAACCTCTRGATTTACTGGTCTATCACCTGCGTTCATGAGGCGTGGATCATGACAGAAAGAACCAGACTCTGATTATAAGCGGCCAAAATGACCTTCCRMTCCAGYGTGARTGGGCTCAGCCTTAGAAATAGGGTGAGGACCTCCTTCATCCAGGGAGAGCTCYGATGACTGACCCCTCGTCATCGAAAGGAGTCAGTGGAGGTGGTTCGGGCYTCTGATTATGACGCCTCCTTTTAGAAGCYTTCCGGGCACYTCCCATTTGTAGGAAGTCATGGGGAAGACCCAGGACTTGCTGGAGAGATTATGTATCCTCGCTGGCCTGGGAACACCTCGGGGTCCCCCAGGATGAACTGAAGAGAGGGATGTCCTGGTTTCTCTCCTAAATCTGTTGCCTCTGCACCCTGACCACAAATAAGTGGCAGAACATGGATAGATGGATGAATTTGTGTCTTTGTTTGTGGGTGACACAATAAGGTTTCTGTACTTGTGCGCACATCTGAGGCTTATATTACCTCTAATCTATAAAARAATCTGTATCAATCAGTGTTGATCTAAGTGGCTCAACATGTCAACAAAAGACTCACTGGAGAGTAGCTTTCACTGGCAGAGAAAAGGCCAGAACAGCTATTTTAGCTGTCATTAAGGAAGTATTGTCAAGATACTGATGCCATGTATTACCTGGAAAGGATGGAGGGATGAGAAAGGGGCAAACGATCMGCCTTAATGCTCTGAGCAGAGAGAAAAAATCTATTAACCTTGTCCTGGAAGTGAACCTGTTGATCTCTCTGCTCGATTTTATTTGTTGACAAATATAACATCTGCTGCTCTGTTGATGTGGGAGATGGCAGCACGTGGTGTTTGTGTCTGTCTGTGTTTGCTGCTGACCCTTGGATGGGAATATGAGTCTCCATATGTGCACGTAAATGAAACAGGTTTGCACAAGTGAACAGAAATATTGAATTGGCAGAAAAGTTTCAATAGATTTGTACATTWACAACCCTTAAGTCATCATCTTTTAGTCTAAAATAAGCAGAACAAAGAAAATTTCAAAAAAATGATCCATGAGCCAAGTGATCACTTCTCTGTATTAGATTTGTTTCTTGCTTTTTGTAGCGTCAGCTATTTGACCTTCCCACACTCAGACTCTGATAATTTTGTATTAACATCGAAGCTGCACCTGAGTCTTCTGAGACTCAGCAGAGCTTTAACAGCACTGAGCAAAAGGCTGAGAAATTGTTTTCCTCTCCTTTTTATTTAAAGCCTCTTTAGTTACTGGAGGTAAACGGAAGRCAAACCACAGCAGCTGAGGTCGTTGTTTTATTTGCACATATTACTTTGACATATTTTCCAGTGAGAGAACTAAAGAAATTCACAGTGGGTGAGTTTGTACTTGACCTCAATCAGGAAACTAACCGTGATGTGTCTCTTGTCTCTGCAGGTTTTGGGATGACTACGCCTGTGACAATTGCAGGCAAGGTGTTCCTTATCTTTTACGGGCTTCTGGGCTGTGCTGCCACCATCCTCTTCTTTAACCTCTTCCTGGAGCGCATCATCACCCTCCTGGCTGTGGTGATGAAGGCRGTGAGGGAGCGGCGGATCAGGAACAGCGGCCTGCTCCCGCCAGGAATACGCCACGACTTCTCGGCCTACTCCCTCCCGGGATGGAAGCCCTCCGTGTACCACGTGATGCTGATCCTCGGCCTGTCGGCCATCACTATCTCCTGCTGCGCGTCYGCCATGTACAGCCCCGTGGAGGGGTGGGCGTATTTGGATTCGCTCTACTTCTGCTTCGTCACCTTCAGCACCATCGGCTTTGGCGACTTTGTCAGCAGCCAGAGTGCGGCTTACGAGTACCAAAACCTATACAGGGTGGCCAATTTCTTCTTCATGCTAATGGGCGTGTGCTGCATTTACTCCCTCTTTAACGTCATTTCCATAGTCATTAAGCAGGTGCTCAACTGGTTGCTGGAAAAAATGAGCTGCTTGTTTTGCCAGCGTTGCAATAAGGCCAACGCCTTCCTGGGCAGACGCAATGCCATCCGCCCAGGCTCCAGGGGTCGCCAGGGTCGGTTTGGCCAGTCGCCTGACTCAGACGGGCCTTGCGATAGTGACACTGAGGGACGGAGGCTATCGGGGGAAATGATCTCTATGAAAGACCTGGCGGCCTCTAGCAAGGTGTCACTGGCCATCATGCAGAAGCAGCTGTCTGAGTCAGCCAACGGTTACCCCAGGACAGTCTGTGGCAGCTCGCACAGTAATGGCTTCTCTGGTGGGGTTGGGGCGCTCGGGATCATGAACAACAGGCTGGCAGAGACAAGTAACTCCAGGTAGAAGGCAGAGAGAGGCGGAAAACAGGGAAAATGGGCTTTTCTCCCTCAAAACTCTGCTGTAACAGGCTTTTGAAAGGGACTATTGGTGTAACTTATGCATGAAAATACCATTTTTATACGTTTGAATGGAATACAAACCTGCAGTAATAACACAGATAATGGTAGTGATTCTTTTAGCAATGATTTGATGARGATGGCATGAGGGAGAATCACAAAGTCAATAAAAAACACAAGCATGGTGGCCACACATCACTTTTATTAAGTTCAAAGCCCAAAACAAAACAAATTGCTGTGAGACCCTGAAACTATTAGTGTTTGAATGCAGAAAACATCATTAGCTGTACGCACTCAGTATATCAGACTTTTTACGACTAAATCGTTGTGCTGGAAAGGAGCCAAGGYAATTATACGGCACACTTTTTACCATCTTGGGATTTCAGCCAGTGCATACGAATGTACATACTGAATGCTGATAAAAACAAGTATAATCGCTGAATGATATAGCACACTCTGATCTATGCATTATTCCTCTCATGCGTTTTGCACCATCTCTGAACTTTCCTTTGATTCTGCAGAAACCCTTCTTCCTTCCCCCTTCATTCCATTCCCGAGGTGATTGATTTCTGCTCRGGGTCCGACTGTGGGAAGCGGACTTTCTGAGCGTGGCCGTGATGCTGCTGATTTAAAACGGGGTTGACGTCCAGGGCGGTTTTCCTTGTGCCACTATAACCGGCCACAAAGATTAATTTCCTCTTGAGATGGAGAAAAGAGCAAAAGTGAAGAATGAAAATCTATTTCTTGGAAAAGAGGAACTGGCCACCTTATCAGCCTAGCCCAAGTTTCTAATGCCAGAGATGTTCAGTTGAAGGGAAAAAAACACTGTTTGACTCTATTTTACTTCAGTTTTTAAGTTTATATAAAACACAATTAGTGTTTTAGTCACTCAGAGAAATATTTGCAAAAGAGAATATATAGAATTTTTTTCTGTTTGCTGAAAGTTAAACAGGGTTAGGTGTCAGTGAATACATTAGGAGGTGAATTACACTAGGATGCAAATGTTTGGCCAGATATTTTTTATTTATTTATTTATTTATTTTTACCATAAGCAAAGTAGAGGCGTCAAACTGATTTTCACTGAGGGCCACATGAGCATCATGGTGGCCCTCAAAGGGCCAGTCATAATTAACTTTTTAACTTAGACTAAATAAGAAGGTTCCTCTTCTCATTGCTWTGGCTGACCACTGCTAACAAACAATAACTGAGCTCTACCTGGTATTTCCTGCATAGAAACAGGGTTTTAACGTCCTCTCATGTACGATCGACTATATGAAATAAATAATACAGAAATACCATGRAAATATAAGAGAGTTTTATTCATTGATGAGGTGTGAGTAGCTGCCATCTTGAATTCTGAACTCTCCCACATTCCTACAGGGAATTCCCCTGCAGTCTCAARGTGCATTATGGGAGATGTAGTTTAAGGTCGATGCTGGCTTTGAAGCAGCTTATTTTAAGAGATTAATACCGTGTAATCCAACTAAATCGCTCAGTTATGTAAAGCCAGCAGCTCAGGGGCAGGACAAGTATTATTATCCTTCACCTTTTAAATTTGTTTATTTTGTGGCATTTAAGCTTAAATTTAAAGAAATAAAAACAATTTTCATATTTAGTAAAAAAAATTAAAGGGGCAATATTATGTTTCTCAGGCATTAAATTCTATACCATAATAAAGTAACTATGTCACCTTTAGTTGTTATTAAAATGTTTATATGTTTAAATGGAAAATAAACTTCACCTCATCACATCTGTTTCTAAACACCTTGAAATTGGCCTCTGTCTCTTTAAGAACCTTCTGCTTCCATCCCACCCATTTCAGCACGGGGCTGGGTGGGTGTGTGTGRTCTGTGATGAGGAAGCTCAGCTTGGAGGCATAGCCCAGAGGATGAGCCGATCCAAAACGGCGGTTCTAGTCCCAACCAMTGGTTTTTGCTCCCCTGCCTGGCTGCCTCAGGACTCCACAGGATTTCTCAAACATACATGAATGAGTCTAAGTAAGACTCTGGGCATGTTTTTGATGAGAGGATAACATTACAGCGTGATATAAAACTAAAAAAAAATGTTGATTTTACGTGAAATTTCCCCTTTAAAAAATAAGTATTAAGTTAAAAAAATAAAAAAATACCGGAGCGCTGGCGGGCCAGACGGAAGTCACCCACGTGTCACATTTTGCCCACGAGCCTTGAGTTTGACACGTGGTTTACATGGAGGGGCAGGAACTAAACCCCGCCCCCATACAGAGGGGATGCTGTAACGGCTCCGGCTTCAACTTCCAGGTTCCCACATGAAATGCAGATTGTGCCAAAACAAGGCTTTGTATGGGTGCTTTAGACAGTTAGTAAATTTTTTTTCTCAAAGAGAAGTGCCAATAAATGTTAATTTATAATTTGTGGAAACAGCTTAAAATCAGTAAAGTTGATAAAGCGGCATTTAAAAATCTTACGAAGCATAAAAAAATAGGTAAGATTAGTTTCTTACACTAAAACTACTAAAGGTTCATAATGTTTTGGTCATGGGCTGCACTGACCGGAGAGCTAAAAGTATTGATGGGTTTTTCTTTTTCTATGATTTAGTATGTTTAAAAATAACAAAAATAATTAAGGAACCTGTTACTAAATTCACATCTTTTAAAATTCAGGTCATTTTCTCACATCCTAATTATTCACAGTTTGAGAAACTTTGATCAACGTTGGCCAGACGTTTGCATGCCAGTGATAGTTTATCCCATTTGTACACAAATATTAAATATTCTATTTGAAGGAAGCAGTCTGAGATGTTGCAGAGGAAAACTAAATCCCTGGCACATTTTTCCCTCTCTCTCTCTCTCTCTCTCTCTCTTGCACTGATTTATGATTGTAACATTTTAGAATTTGTCTCTAAAAGCTGAAAAACGCTTCTTGATTTCACTTTAAAGGTGCGGCTGATGTGTAACAGTTTAGAAACGACACAATCTTCACCRGTCAGGCTGAACAATCAGTGTTGTTGTCGCCGGCAACTCTTTTTTCCTCTGATGATTTAAAAGCCACGGGACGCCGCGTGATGCCTGCGAACAGCACGACTGAGAAGAAGTTGGTGGTTAAACTGTCCCGGCGACAGTGATGAAGGAGGCGAAGCAGCCAGAGGAGCTGTGGGAAGTTTGCGGTGGCATTAATCGGTCCCCCCCCCTCCCCCCCCCATTTTCAGATTCAAATTCATGTGCATTGCGAAATAACGGCCAAGGGTTCAACCGCTGCAGCCATCCATCTTCAGCATCTAATGTGCCCCCCCTCCCCTCCACCCTCCGGCCCACTCTTTTCCCTGTCATTTCCCTTTAAATGCACTGCAGCAAAACCCCTCCTGCTTCCTTTCCCCTTGCAGATCTCTGCTGGTTTCTCATGCTCATCAATCTTACACTGTGAATAATAGTCATGTTATAAATGTACATATAAATGTAAAAAAATGGGAATGTCTTAAAATGACCTTTATACGATACGGTGTGGGTTAAAACCGGAGCCGTTTTTGGGTGATTTTAGTGCATAGATCTGAACAATTTAGTTTTTACTCCCTATAGTCTCAGCAAGAGGAATAGAGAAGATGACTCAGGTAGTTAAATCTTCAGGCCTGTCTTAGTTTTTTTTTTTTTTTGCATGCCATTATGGTAAAGCCATAGCTGTATATAAAACAAAGTACTCCTAAAAGTCTATTTTTCTACATATAGCTTTCAAATATCTACACATGGATGAGAAGCCTCACCGTCACATACAGCAGACTGAGGAGACAGTGTTCAGAGTTGGTCTGCCCTACAGAAATGTGCGTARGGTAGACACAAATCTAGCACATCTGCTTCAGGTTTAAACGAGTAGTTTGATATTTTTGCAGGTTCAGCTAAGAGGGATGTTTCCTTACTTGTGTTTTCTAAACAGTCTTGTTATCAAGCTTATCTCGACATAAATTTCCCCCTAAAATGGATGCATTCCTCCAATGGTTCCCCCAAAGCGGAGCAGTAAAATGAGCATATGTTGAAGCTTGCAGCAGCAGCACCGGGAGGATTCATGCTTTTCTCATTCACTGGAAATGACTTTGCAAACAGGAGAGAGAAAAAAAGTGAAAAGAAAAGTGAGCATGCTTTACCAAATGACTTATTGAATACAGAAAGAGTTTCCCGGCTCTAAATTGTCTCTGGGGGTGGACTGCCGGCATCTCTCTAGAATAATCAATCCTAAATAATGTTTTATGAAATTTCACCTTTTTCCTCTGAGGTTTAAGTGTGGGGTGCTGGAGGTTTCCACTGCAAAAAACTGTCCATCTTACCAAGTTTTAAAATCTTATATCAGCCAAAAAGTCTTTTTGATCTTGTTTTGAGACTGATTTACTAAACAAGAACTGATTGTGTAAGAATAATAATCTT